GTCCCTCAGGTGACAACCAAAAGAGATTCATACCCAAGTCGAACTTACTACTGGCTTATGATTTAAGGAGTCTATTATCTACCTCACCAATAAAACATGGCTCCCAAGAAGCATCTTTTGGTGTACCCCGGCCCTGACAGTAAACATACACCATACGCTTTTTCTTTCCTTCCACAGTGTTTGAGACAGGGTATTGCTACGCAGTTTAGGCTGGCCTTGAACTCATTTTGTAGCCCAGGCTGGTCTCAAACCTGCAATGGTCCTCCTGCCTCAAACTCCCAAGTACTGGAGTTACAGGCGTGCACTGCCACACCCAGCTCCTCACCTGGTTTCAAGGAAAACGAAGCATAGGACTAGAAAAGCAGCCCATGCTCAGGGGCCATGGGCTGCTCTGCCCCACCAAGGACCCCAATCATCACAATAATCCGGCCCTTCCTACTCTCACCACACACAACTCATGCTGGCCAACAAGTCACTGCTCTTGTGAAGTGGCAGTAAGGCAGGAAAGCCGCACCTGACCATGGATTGGATCCTGCCAGGCAGACACTCTGAGGGAACCTGACCCAGCGCAATCCTGAGAGCCCTTCCTTTCCATATCAGACTGGCGGACCATCCCCCAAGTGACTCCCACACGGTCAGGCCAAGCAGGGACCTCAGGAAGGTCACTGATCATCAAGGAGCTGGCTGGAGCTCAGGCATCCCATGTGGCAAAAACATCCCATTTTACTCTGCAGCAGAATCACAGAGTGATGCCACAGTGGCACTTGAGACCCATGCAGACCCAGGCCAGGTGACCCGAGCTGCAGGTCTCAGGGCTGCCACTCGCAGAGGCAGAAAAGGCTTTTTGGGCACCATGAGCAGGAGCAGCAGAGCCCATAGGCGACCATCGTGCCCTACCTCTCATGAATGTGGCTGGCGATCACAGCCAGCTGGTTGCAGCGGTTCATGAACAGGTGGGCGTTCCCCAGCACCAGCACGGCGTCCATGCATCGGGACAGGGTGAACTGTGGCACAGGTGGACACGCAAGAAGCAGACACTGGTCAGACTTGGCCGAGGTTGCTCTGTTGAGTCTAGACAGTTACCCCTGCCAAACATGCACTCAGGAGGGCATCTCTTCCAAAAGCATAGGTAGGAAACACTTGGAAAGGAGTTTTCTAATTTTACTCATAAAAGGCCACATCTAAAAATAGCTTTAAACTTTAAAGTATTTAATAGGGGGAAAAAAAAACCCTCAACTCAGAGCTCAATCCCAAGGGGGGAAAAAAAGAAAAAATAAATAAAGTATTTAATATATTTATGTGTCCTAGGATTGATCCCAGGCCCTCACACACGCTAAGCAAGTTTTCTACCACTGAGCTATATTCCCAGCCTTCCACAAATACTTCCTGCATAGAATTTAGCAAAAAACAGACATGTCATCTTCTGTGACAAAAATTACTAGCAACATGAAGTCAGCTGTGGTAGCACATTCCGTAATCCCAGCCTCAAAGGAAGCTGAGGCAGGAGGATAGCAAGTTCAAGGCCAGCATGGGCAATGCAGTGAGATCCCCATCTCAAAAAAAACTATAATCAAAATCAATGCCCACTTAAAATTGCCCAGAGAGACAGAGAGAAAGAGGAGGGAAAGAAAGGGGGGAGAAATAGTTGTAAATCTAATGAAACATGTACAGGACTTGACTGGTGAAAAATCTAAATAGATGGAGAGACAGAA